GGGAATTTTTTTCAATTTTTGAGGGTAATGTCTTCGACTAGATACGATTTGTGATCTTTTGACATATTGTTCATCAAAATCGGTCCAGCGAGAGCTGAGATTGAGCGTTCACAGACACAAAAAAAAAAAAAAATTAAAAAATAAAAAATTAAAAAAAAAAACACATCATAGTAAAATTAATACCTTCTCAGCTTCGCATCGAAGCTAAAAAAATTAATTTAACCATAACTTTAAGCTTAACTTGTAAGTTTGAAATTGACATCATTAAATAATTAAAGTTATTTTTTTTAATAGTTTAGTTTCATTTAGATGTATTTAAATTTTTTTATGCTGTTTTTATCTTGTTTTTGTAATATCTCTCTTGATGCCAGGATCATTTTTAGTTTAATATTTGCCGGTACTCTATCATCAAAAAATGCTAACAATATATTTTCAGGTGATAAATATCATAATTGTCCTTAAAGTAGATCCTTTCAACCAAGCCTCGACATAAACTTTTACCAAAAATACACAAATATCACGAAATGCATATTCTTCTTGTGTTTTAAGTTTTAACTATTTTCTGAACACAAATATTTTTAGCGAATGAACTACTTTAGGCAACCATCTATCGTGATGAATAGCACCAAAGTAGTAAAATTTTACACCATTAGTGGATGTTGCACCCAAAAAAATAACACGTTACTCGAAAAAATCGTTGTAGTCATTTTTATATTGTCGAATCATTAATGTTTCCAAACAAATTTTTTTTATATTATTTTTAGAGTGTTCAACTGCGTTTTAATAATTATATCATTGATACCAACATCAAAATTCAATAAATTTAGGCTAGTCCAACTTTCTATAAAATTTTTTAAAATTGGTACAACTGGACCAGTTGTACATAAATTAAGTTTAACCTCGTAAAAATTTTTTAGTACTAATCCCAAAATATGTCTACGAAATGGCTAATACAAAACATTACACGCTAAGAGTTGTTCAAGCAATATATAACCTTAGAACATGCAAATATGCCAGCCGTACCTTGGCATACAGGTATTCTCGTAAATGAATTCTATTTATAGATATCTATCGACGTTATCTTCTACAGTACACGTTCAATAAATACCTCATATACTACTATGTATATGTTTTTGTTAACCAATTTTCTAAACATAGTCTTTATGCAATTTTTTTATCCTTTATACGAACGCGTACAAAACATGAGTTTAACACTATTGTTCTCCGCCGGCTTAGCGTGATTGTGCGAGTTTAGCACAAAATTTACAACTGTTGATTGAGGGTTGTCAGTGGCGGTTTTACCGATAGATTAACAGTATATAATAGGAACCAAAGAATGGGGTTAATAGAAACAATTTGAACTTAAAAAGCCTATAGAGCTCTTAAAAAAACCATAGAATATTAGAAAACATCTCAATATAAACGTTTTATCGATTACTTTAAATTGTCATTGGAATAAATTTATTTTGTTTACTACAAAAAACTATAACTTTATTTAAGTTATAGAAGTATAGAGTTAAAAAAATCAAAGAGTGGCTTGTAATCAGTGTTGGGAAAGTTCCTTTTTAAATGGAATTCGTTCCGTTCCCCGTTCATTTTCTAAAATATGAACTCGTTCCAGATCCTAATTCTTTATATTAAGAAGGAACTTGTTCCAGATCCAGTTCCTCCAAAATAAGAACTCGTTCCACTCTTCGTTCCTTTTATAAGTTATTTAAAAAATTGTGGCAATGAAATCATGATAACGGTCATCAATGATTTTCATCAGCAGTCGAATACAAAACAAATTTGTAGTATTCCTTATCTAAAAGTATTCGAAAATTATATTTATAAGCAGGTAGTAAATGCTAACGACTTGTGTCAACGCGACCAATGTCTATTGTCTACATATAAGTTAGAAATAATAAATCAGAAAACCCAAAACCTTTAACATAAATTAGTTAACAAGAAACGACGATAATATTCGGTGCATTATTTAATATATGTACACATATATTAAATATTTACTGTATACCTACATGTGATAATAACTCTATCTATAATCAATTGATTCATTTAAACAGCCTACGATCTCGGCTGGGTATATAGGGGACTTCCATTGTCAAAAGTCAACTAAAAATACCATAATATTTTAATGTCTAGATACGAAGAAAACTACACTAAAACATGTTTATAAAAAATTTTAGGAACTGTAATTTCCGTTCACGTTCCTTAAAAAATGGAATTTGTTCATTTTCCTCGTTCCTTTATTTTAAAAGGAAGCAGTTCCTAGCATCGTTCCTTCAAAAAGAACTCGTTCCAGGAATCCGTTCCTTTTGGAACTAGTTCCTTCTCAACACTGCTTGTAATACATTAATCTAGGTGCGTGCATTAACCCCAACTTAAAAACCCATCACAGGAGGGTCGCGACACAGTGGTGTTACGTGGCATAGATGGATCAAGTATAATGATATCTGACAGTGATTAAAATCACTATAAAAAAAAACGCTTCGATGCAAATCTTTAGATAGTGTTTAATTTTAAAAAATTGGTGGATTATTCCAAAAGCTACATGATCTGCTAGTTCCTTATTAATATCCTGATTAAGATAAAGTATGTCGAATGAAAAAGGGATTATTAAAAAATATTATTTCTCATAAAAAAATTATGTTAATCCATCAATCGGTTTGATGAGAGCTAAAAAAAATGGTAACAGACGCAAAAAAAAACACATCATAGTAAAATCAATACCTTCTCAGTTTCGCATTGAAGCTAAAAAATAAATATGTAAAACTATTTTAAGAATTATTAAAAGTCCCGTACGGTTGAACCGTTGATGTGTGATGGTGGTGATATTATCTATGAGTTTTGATTACAAACGGTAGAACGTCAGCGCCGTCAAACCGTGACATTCGACGGTTTTGAGACGTACCGGGCGGTCGATAACAGCGATCCGTGGTAGTATGACGCTCTTGATTTTCTTGATTAACGGTATAAACGTACGGTTACGACCGTACGGTGCTACCGCCTAGTGTGTTGAGGCCCTTATGGTCCTTCGCACGGAACGTCTAGTGTATATCGAGAACGCGAAAATTTTGCGTAACGAAACTGTGTTATTAGAGTGCTTGAGTAAAACGTTGTATGTGTGTGTTCGTAAATAATTCTGACAAATCGAGTTGGAAATCATTAATCCAAAGATGCAACAATTAAAGAAGTCTAATACAAGTCCATGTAAAGGCGTTATTTGACTTAGAGACATTAACGGTACAAACAGCGGTAAAACTTCGAGCGTTTACAGACTTAATAAAAGGACGACACATGTGAATATTAAAGGTACTTGTGATGACAACTTCGTGAAACGCTAAGCTGTCAAAATTAGGAAAGAGTTCTCGTAAACTCTTAAACAAAGCAATGAAATCATATTTGGAACAACATTGAAAGTCTTATAGGGACTCTCAAAATTAATACAAATCTGCATTGACAAAATCCAAAAGAGAGAGCTGGTAAAAGTTTTGTGGAGAATCAACGACTATCCACATCTACTAGACTTATATGCTCATTAAGAAATGGACCGAACAAAAACGTCGAAGCAATTTTATTTCCAAACGATACATTCACAAACAATGATAACGAGACATTATCATATTTGTTGAACGTACACTTTCCTGGCTCTGAAATATATAACAGAGATGAACGGCTTCATGAAATACCGGGCAAATTTGTGACCCGTGCTGAATCGTAGCTAACAAGAAAATTTATTACTCCAAATGGCATAAGATGGGCACTAAATGCTTTTGACAGTTTTAAGGTAGGTAGGTTGTGACAAAATATTTCTCGCACTTCTACAAGAGGGGCTAGATCTAATCGTCCCCAATCTCTGTGACATAATTAGAGCATGCCTAGCCTTCAGTTATTAAACCGAAAGCTGGCGAAAAGTACTAGTAGTGCTAATTTATACCTAAACCTAACTGTGCTAAATACTATGAAACAAAATCCTACAGAACAATAAGTTTCACTTCATTTCTTCTTAAGACTACGGAGAAACTTATTTATAAGTATATAAGAGAGGGGCCTTAAAGGATAATCTTTCACATAAGAACCAACATTCGTACCAAACAGGAAAATCTATTGAGACAGCTCTACATAGTTTAACCACTAAAGTGATGCTAAACAATGGCTGCTATAACGATAAGAACCACACCAACGGTGGTATTGGAGATACTAATTGGCTACTTCCTGTGAACTTAGAGGTTAAAGGTTATGCCAAAGCTACAGCACTAAAACTCCACAACTTTGGTATATGGGTTATGCATAGCGACACCATAGAACATAGTAAAATACTAAACCAGAGTTATATTACTGGGATATTTCTCAAACAGTATAAAACCTGTTCTCCAAAATAACATCCTCTGCAAATGTTGACACGTAGGAAATGTAATATGAACCACGTAATTAGGAAAGGAAGGTCTGTAATTTATACAGCAGACCATTTTCCTGACGTCGATATAAATTTTAAATGAGCTATCAAGCCGTAATAATAAATATAGTTATAACTATTTATTATATATACCTGTGGTTGTCTGTTCTCATAATAATTGATTTGGCTTTTTTGGAATTGTCGACGAATTAATAATTTCTTATCGTCATTATAAATACTAGTTTTGAATTATACCTAATATTTCATGATTCATGATACTATTTATTGGAGGAGCTTACTTGATCCTTAATAAACCGTAAAAATTAGAAACTTATAGTAAAAAATAATTTTTTTATAAATTTAAATATTCTCGATCTTTTAAATTTTGCTTCTTCTGAGAACGATTATATACTGCAAAATCATTACAATAATAAATTTCGTGAACAATAAATAAAAAAATAATTATTAATCACATTTATTGATAATAATGAAATTACTTTATTAAAATTACACTTGCATTTATGGATAGCATAAAAAATATTGGGAATCACTTGTAATAATAAAAGTGATAATATTTTTTCATGTAAGTGTTTCGATCTTTGATAGAGAACTCTACTGATTGTGAAATACGTTTATTACTCTACGTCCGACTATCAGCGATCATTCTTCGCTTGCCGGTACCAGTGTTTTTTAATTTGTAAAAGTAACCTTTGTGAGTGTTACTTATATTATTTTGATTTGTGTTTATAAAATCTTCAAAGAATTTCATAATGGTAAGTTTTTATTCTATTTATCAGTATTAAATCTTCTTTTTTGGAAATTAATTCTATATTCAAGTGACCTTATGCCCTTGATTGTACTTAGATTTTAGAATACATTTATTATATTAATTTTCTAATGGTATAAATTTTGTTAATCATTTATTAATTATCATATTGATATTAAAAACTGTAATTAATATATTAAGTTGTATATCCTAAACTTATATCTAATGACATTATGACCTTAAAAATATAACCTTAAAATGTTTTATTGAACCTAAGTTTTGTATTAAGTTGATTTCTAAAACTTTTTATAGTATTGATTAATAATTATTTAAATTCAGTTTATCCAGTGTATAATACATATTATATACATACAATTTGAGTCTTATAGAAAGTATAATTCAATATTTTTTCAAATTTCAAAATCCATTATTACTGTAAATTTATTAGTTATTTATGTCTTCACTACCGAAATGTATTCAAAGAAGTATACAAAAGGATTCATTTATCATAAACTACTTAATTAATTGGAAGATAAAAAAAATTTTATTTGTTACTTTTAGTTTAACGTTTTTCTCAATTTTTAATCATAAAGATTTTTTATATTCATTTCTTATTTGAGTAATGACTTTAATTTTTCAAATGATAACACATTTAATTAACTAACTTTTTTAATAGATAATGATCTAATTTAGAAAATGATAATTTAAATTAATGACTGGAGATGTAGAGTGGGTGCTTCTATTTTTATAACTAAACATTCCCAGATGTATTCTTCCTCTCACCTAGATATAAAGATGTTAATAACTTTTGAAATACTGGTCTAAAATTTATTATTGACCAGTCATATTTTTAATTAGATCATTATCTATTAAATAAGCTAGTTAACTATGTATTGTAATTAAAAAAATTAAATTTAACATCCATATAAGGAAAAGGAATGAAAATAAAAAAACTTTATGATTGAAGAATTAAGAGAAACTAAAAATAACGTATATAGAACGTACTAGCCCACTATGCCAGTGATCTAAGTACTGAAAAGGTGCAGCGTCTGAGATTTAACAATTGGATTTTTTTTTTCTTTAAAATTATTTTTATAATTGATTGGTTTAAAAAAATTAATTTTTATTCTTATGAGACAACAAATGCCAGACAAATAGATTTATAAATGAATATATTATAAATTGTTTTGTAGGGTTCAAAAAATTATTAAAATTAAAGGGTCAATATATATATTACAATAGTATAACTAAAAGAAATATTGAAATTCCAAAAATATAAAAAATTTTCTCAAAAATTTAAACTAAAAAAAAAAATAACAAAAATATTCAATTGTTTGGACAGTTGTCCAAACAATTGTCTATGCATGAATTTTTTTCTAGCACAGTTGGCTTAATATTTTCCAGTCCACCCCTAGATATATGTAAAAAGAGAAGTAATTTAATTTTACATCTTTTTTGTGTTTATAATTTATGTTAATTATGATTCAATAAATGTCCAAAATATTTGAAAAAAACTGTCTCTTGTCCAAAAAAAATATTTACAATACATTTTAAATTATGTTTGTACTTCTTTAGGCTCAAAAGGCACCAATCCGTATAGTTGTAACTGGTGCAGCAGGTCAGATTGCATATTCTCTTATTCAAATGATTGCTAATGGTGATGTATTTGGCAAAGATCAACCAATTTATTTACATTTATTGGATATACCAGTAGCTATGGGAGTTTTAGAAGGTGTCTGCATGGAAATTGATGATTTAGCTTTACCATTAGTAAAAGGTCTTTTATTATAAATAAATGAATCAATAATTCTTCTTTATTTTTATATTATTTATTTATTGTTTTAATTTTTTTAATTGGTACATTAGGTTATGTTAAGACTGTTGAACCTGAAGAAGCATTTAAAGATGCTGATGCTGCATTTTTGGTAGGATCTATGCCTAGAAGAGAGGGTATGGAAAGAAAAGATTTGTTGGCTGCTAATGTGAAAATATTTAAAGTACAAGGCCAAGCTTTAGATAAATATGCTAAAAAAGATGTTAAAGTTCTTGTTGTTGGAAACCCAGCAAATACAAATGCATTCATTTGCTCTTACTATGCACCATCAATACCAAAAGAAAATTTTACTGCTATGACTAGACTTGACCAGAATAGGTATAATTTTTTTATATCCATGAATATTTATCATTATCAGAACAATAATAATGTAATAATAAATAATCATGTAATATTTTTTTTTAATATATTCATGAAAAAACATGCCAAGTTTGATAAAAATCTATTACATAAAAACAGTAATAAAGTCTGAAGTTTATGTTACCTATTTTGTTTGTATGGACATATTTAGCATATAGTCTAGTCATCCCAAAAGGGAGGCTTGGAGAGTGGCACATTCTCCAACTAATCAATATTTAATTGTTTAAATCAGTAATTTTTTTATAGATGTCAATGTCCTGACAAATTCTATAATTTTTTATTCAATAAATATTTTTCATTACTTGTTTTTTTTTTAACTTGTTATAGCATATAACAATAATGATTCCATAATATATATATATTCCTTATTTTATTAAAGAAACAAAATACTAGAAATATATAAACCAAAAGTTTAGAAGTCATGAATATTTTTATACCTGGGTGAGAAAAATAGAATGATAGAGTAATTTCGAAATGATAATAATAACATAACCCACATCTTAGTTCATCTGCTAATAAAAATGTTAAGAACTACCAAAATACTGATTCAAAAGTTGTTATCAATCAGTAAATTTCTTAGTTTGATAATATTCTATAACATGAACTAGTTATATATATATATATACTACCATTTAAAAATATCAAGTTGGTGCCATTATAAAGGATAAACCTAAAGGAATAGACTTAATAAAAATATAGTAAAAGATATTCAGTAAATCAGAAGTTTTAGGATTTTTTGAGAACATTGGGAATTCCTGTTTATTTATAGTGCATATTTACACGATTATTTATTATTATTTTTAGTATGTGATAACCCTGATCATAATTAATATAATAAAATAAAATTTTAATAATTATTTTCATTTCTATTTTTATACAGAGCTCAATCTTTTATTGCAAAACAACTAGGAATTTGTGTGAGCCATGTTCAGAATGTTACGATTTGGGGTAATCATTCATCAACTCAATTTCCAGATGTCATTAATGCTAAAGTTCTTCAAAATTCAAAATTAATGGGTGTTTATGATGCTATAAAAGATACAAAATGGCTTGAATCAGATTTCATTAAAGTAAGTTATTTAAATAATATTATTGCTCAACTAAGAAAAATAATCATTATTTACATATATTTCAAAAACAAAGTGAATTATTTTTTCTTTTATTTAAAATTTAATTAATTTAATCATTAGAGGCTTTAGCCTCCTTACAATATTTTTAAATTATTCATATGTTTAGGTAAAAATATTTTTAGGATAAAAAAAAATCAATTTTAATCCTAATCTATCCCTATGGAATATTAATATTAAATATTAAATGGATTTTATAATAATATAAGCTATAATTAAAAATATTTTGTCTTTACATCGTCTTGAGTCGTGGGATTTCCATACCATGCTTCTCTTTACACATCACACAATAAATGTGTAATATATTTTTCATTCAAACATTTCTATTTACTAAAAAAACTTCATTACTATCTGTATACATAATTTTCTTCCATATCTCAATAATTATGATAACAGTAATTTTTTTAAATAATTCTAACTCTAATTCATTTATCATATTTGGATTATTTACCGTCAAAATTCATAGGAGTGATAACCCTGCGATCTCAAGTAATTCAGTTGTTTCCAATTTTTGAAATTGGTAGACATGGTTATACTAGATTGATATAACAAATAGGTTAGAATTATTTATTAAAGACTCAGAATTATCTTGTAAAAGTAGAGATCTTATTGAAGGAAATATGTAAGAGTAGTGATAGTACACAAAAATGTACTACAAACAGCTTTCATGATGAGTGACTATGTGTAATTAGTGATTTTGAGGTATACTGAATTTGTCAACTTACCTTTTTTTACCTTAATCTATTTTTAATAACTAAACTTTTAATGAATGTGTTAAAACTTTCATGGATTGTCTTATTGCTTGAGGATATATCCATGTTTACAGTTGAGTTCTGACGTTTCGGACTCATAGCAGAGTCCATCTTCAGAGTGATGGTTGCTAGTCGGTGGCTGCAACTATACTGGCACGTTTAAATTGAAACGTCAGAACTCAACTGTAAACATGGATATATCCTCATAAACTTTTAATGTTAAATGTTCAATACTCACAATAAATTTCAAAATAATTCTGTTAACTAATTATTATCAAACCGTGATTTATATCATTATAAACATTTGTGATACAATGACACTTTATTGTTTTATATAAAATTTCAATCCCCAAAAATATTTATGAAAATTTTAATAAAAAATAATTTTCCTTTTGAAAATGTTCATGCTTACATCACTGGGAATAGTGAATATGCCTACCCTTGTAATAACTAAAACTAACTAATTACATTATTTCCTTTGCCAAGGGACTAGGAATAGTAGAGGGATTAAAAATGAGTACTTTAAGTAATTTTTTTTTTGACAGTGGTTTATTTATTTTTTATTCAACAAATAATAAAAAGTTATTATAGTATTTTAGCTTTGATACGAAGCTGAGAAGGTAATAATTTTACCATGATGTGTTTATTTTTTTTTCTTGTGTCTGTCACTATTCTATTCTCAGCTCTCACTGGACCTATTTTTCACAGCAATATGTCAAAAGTTCAAAAATTGTATCTGGTTAAAGACATTACTCTCAAAAATTGAAAATTTTTTTCTCGTTCCCTGTAAATGATGGAAATCCCCCAAAAAATTACGATTTTAAAAATCTGTAAATTTCGAAATTTTTTTTGCTGTTTTTCTAAAAATTGGCATAACTTTTTAAAAAATAAACAAATCAAAATTATTATTTTATACATAAACTACCTTATATATTTCTTTTTCATTTAATATAAAATTTATGATACTCTGACCCTTTACCTGCCCACAGAGAGATTTAAAATAGCAACTTTTTACAAAACTTAACTTTTCAACTTAAGTTTTAAAAATGTTCCAGAAATACTGTGTCCTTAAAATATATCCCAAATTGAAGATTATGTTACGTACTACAAATTAAAAAAAAAAAATTGGTAATCTAAATGATTTACTTTTACATTTTTTGTTGATATTCATGAAATTAAAGTCTATTTAATGAATCTACTCCATTATGTATCTGGTCCATATATATACTAATTTCAATGTATGATATCAAAATTCGTTTCCGACATTTAACATTTAAATTTTACTAAAACTGGTATTCAAAAATGATTATCCTATAACTATAAATTGAATATAATAAAAATGTACTTTATATTTCTATTATATGTATTAAATATAATTGACTATTTTTAAATTATTTGTTTTAATCTAGACCATTCAAACAAGAGGAGCAGCTGTAATTAAAGCTAGAAAAATGTCATCAGCTATGTCTGCTGCTAAAGCTGCAGTTGATCATATGCATGATTGGTGGCATGGTACCTCCAATGGAAATTGGGTTTCAATGGCTGTAGTCTCAGATGGCTCATATGGTATTCCTAAAGATCTTGTTTTTTCATTTCCGGTTACAATTTCTAACAAGAAATGGGAAATTGTTCAAGTAAGAATAAGAATATTATTTTAAAAAACATTTGTAAGATGTATAATATTTTAGGGTTTGAACATAACTGATTTTGCAAGATCTAAATTAGATTTCACTGCTAATGAACTAGTTGAAGAAAAAAATGAAGCTGAAATTGTTTGTAGTGCTTGACATAAATTACCCCCAAATGAATGTAAGCTCTGAATTGGCAGTGTTCCGGGTACAAAATTAATTCTTTAGTTATATTACATGATTTTGGGGGCTTATATCCCTATCATGAACAAGCAAATTTTATATTTAAAAAACTGCAACCATTCCAAAAAATTGCATTTTATTTATTATTTCCATAAACTTATAACTGTTTAATTTTTAATTTATTTTTATTTTTTTGTTATATTTCTGTTAATGTAATGTTTACTTTAATTTATGGTTATGGATAAACACATGTTATTTAAAGTAATAAATATAAAATCATGGTGCCCGGATGACATTATTGTTCAACTTTTGGTCTTGTATGTGTAGTAGGCCAGTCTGGTATAAAATTTTCTTTTAAGAAATTTTCTCTTGTTTGTGAAAGAATATTTAAATTGTTAGTACTACCAAATATGGACCCTATAGAAAAATATTTTTAGTTATTGAGATAAACAAAAAAATAGTAATAATTACCTCCAAGCCAAGCTACATAATTTTCATAAACAGGAGCAATATGGAATTTAAACTTGGAAATCTTTAAGTTTTGATACTTAGATGAATTGACTTTTTCTTGAAGTTCTTCTTTAAGCCTTGCCTTAAATCCTTTAGCAATTGTTGTACCACCAATAAGAAAAATATTTTCAGCAAGCTTAAGTCGCATGTCAACATTACTCTTAATACAAAATTTATATATACTTATTATAATACATTAAAATAATTTTTTATATATAGTTATGGGTCATTCCAAATTATGAATTATCAGATTTTTTTTGTCGTCATTTATGTAATAACTAAAAGTTTAAATGACATGAATTTTTAAAAAATAATTTATATCATTATAATTTACAAGTTACTATCTTATTATTTAGCTGGACACACATTATTCTTCTATCTTGATTATACAAAAAAAAATTTCCATAAAAGTATTTAGTATTAGATAAATAAGGCCAAAACTTCTATGCGAGAATATATATATATATATTGTTCATAACTATTACCAATAGATCTACATACAAATACAAATAAAACGGTAACACAGTGGAGTCATGGCACAGTGTGAGCGTAATCTAGTATAGATGATATCTGACAGTGATTAAAATCACTATCATAAGAAATGCTTCGATGTAAATCTGTAGATAGTTTAACATTTTTTTTAAAACTGATAGTAAATAGTATAAGCTAAAATGTAACATATCTAAAAAACTGTGTGGGTACCAGATACAACAGTGTCACTGGAAATGAAAATGCTGACTTTCTAGCCAATAATGGAGCAGAGAACACCTACGTTGGACCAGAACCAGTGATAGGACTCACTGAAAAGTCACTCAATGCACTACCCAAGAATTGGTGTAGAAAACAACACAGGAAAATCTGGAAGTACTTAGACAATCTAAAATGTTTATCAAGACCCCTTTCTATTACTACTTGATCTTAATAGCATGACTAGAGATCAAATAAGCACTTTAACTGGTCTGCTAACAGGCCATGGTCACTCGTTTAGACATCTTTACACAATGGACATCTGGGAATCACCAGTGTGCAGGAAGTGTAGAGTAGAAGAGGAAGACTCATTTCATTTAATGTGTGAATGTAAAGCCTTATCCACACTAAGATCAAACTACTTGATTAAACCTTTTCCCAAAAAAAAGATATTAAAAACCTAAGACATAACTTATTATTTCCCTTAAAAGAAAAATAATTTAAAAATGACCCAATATATTTGTACTAAAGTCAACTAACATTTTTAATAGTTTCAAGTATCATCGTAGTTATAGACATTTCATCTATATTTTCTTCAAACAGTATGTCATACGCAGTTTCTCTTACTCTACCAGGAATTGTAATAGATATCTCTCCATTGATATGATAACTTGCATCAGTTGTAAGGGGATTAACATCTTTTCCTTCAACTAAATTTTTGCTTCGGTTTAATTTTGTTACAAAACAACTTCTGACTAAAAAAATTAAAATGTAAATAAAAACACTTTTAAAAATATCAATTCTACCTTTTATATCTTCAATAATGTCATTTGTAGATTTTTCAGCTGTTAATTCGTTAACATTTATTTGATTTTTAATTTGTTTTTCTACTGATTCCCCAGCTAATGGCATTGCCTGCCATAGTTTTAATACAGGTACTCCTTCACATACAGGAATAAGTATAGTTTCTTTATAACCTATGTCTAATACTAATGCTGTAGAAATACCAAGAGTAAAAAGTGCAACACAGTGTGATGGAACAAAACAAAGTGATGCTATCTGCAATATAAAAATCCAAAGATTTATGAACTGATTAGATATATTATGATAAGTTCTTACTTCATAATTAATAAATAATATTTTTGCCAATGTCTCTTTAAATTTAGTAGGAGATAATAAAGATTCAACTATAATAACTTTTTTTTCTTTAGGCGCAATAAGAGCATGTCTATTAACAATAAAAATAATAATTATATATTTATAGAGTTATAAATGTATTATTATACTTATAAAATAATCTATGAATGAATTTTGTTAATGCTAAAGTGAGTTTTTGTTGATCTATGCAATTGTAAAAATCAGTTACTATCATTCCATCAATTTCACTTTGAGTTTGAATAATACATCGTGGTGAATGCTCAGTAGCAAATCCAAATCTAAAATTAATATTTATTAATATTAATCCTTTTAGTATCTTAATCATACATACACGAACAATCAAAAATTGTTCTACTTGCTTAACCTAATAATAAAATCCAAGTAACACATAACCAGACCTACTAACTATATGTTTTAATAACTTTGGTACCCTTGAATAATAAATGTTATAATATATCAAAATTCAATTCTTATAATACTCAAAACTTAAAAAATTGATCTAAAGAAATTATTGATTAATACTATTTTTAATATCGGTAAACTATGATTATTTAAAATTATAATAATATACTTTAAAGTTTTACTTTTTTTATTTTATATATATAATAAAACATAATTTACTACAAAATTAATTTTTTTTTTTTTTGAACCATCATTTTGTTAAAAAAGTATAGAAAACATTTATTCAATATTAAATTTTGAACAAAATTTGAATTCACAGAAGACAATTTAAACTTACTTTGTGTACTTTGTTCCAATATCTATAACTATACATTGTTTTTCTGTTGAAAAATCTGAATCAATCTTCATTGTTGATTAATAGTTACGATGAAATCTTCACTAGCATTTAAATTAAATAATTTATCTTTAAAAATTATCTAATATAAGTATTTTGCCAAAGTTAGTCTAGATAAATTTATTATTGAAGCACACTGGAATACAAAATGATAAATTTTGTTATTCATTTTTTTATTTGAATTTTCCCTTAATACATTTAATGTACTTAAATTATAGAAATTAAACTTAAAAATATTTTATTTCTCTGTTTGATTACTGAAAAGCTTAAGAAATCGTTTAGTTTTTGGTATAAAATATATTAAATTACTATCGTAAAAATCTCTTTACATTTTTTAATTTTAAATCGTTGTGTTATAGTTATAAGAGTTTGATTGAAGTTTCGTTTTTCTTCTTAAGTAAATATTTGATTATAATATGTCGAATTGTTATATTTTTACTTTTAACAAAATAATTAATTATTTTAACTGTTTCTGTGATTATATATAACACTATTATCACTCTAAGATATAGATAAAAGACTAAGTACAAGTTCTATGATAGCCTAAAAAGATATCCAGTGAATACAGAAAACAAACGAAAAAGTCCCTTGAATATGAATAAATACATTAACAAAATACCGGTTAGCAACATAGTAGATAGTAACAATTCGTAAAAAACAAAAAAAACGCCGGCCACGTCACTTCACAGCTGCCGCGTTCGTGTTATCTACAATTTGTTTTAAGTATATATTTTTTTGATTCGTCGATAATCCAAATTTTCGTATTAATTGGCTACAACGACAAACGTATACGTATTATATATTTTTTCATTTTAGTATAGAACGTTTTTTTTCTTCATTCATATATGTGGTGACACCGTTAAAATTCTAATTAGTGTTTAGTTTGTGTTAATAGATCTTTCAATTATTAATCATGAATATATTCAGACTTTGCGGCGATTTGTCGCATCTGCTGGCCATTCTATTATTGTTACTTAAGATATGGAAGACTCGATCATGTGCTGGTAATTTTTATTTACATAATATTGAGTGGCGTCCACAAGGTTTTCAAGCTTAGTTGCTGAGTAGTTGCCCACGCTTGAAATCCTTAAGGACAAATATTAATATTTCGCTAAGATCCGAGGGATGGTGCAAAGTAGTACTGAGCACAATCTTCGATACTCTTAGTACACATAAAATAGAATTTTTTAAATTTCAGTATCATGTATACTAAAATGGTTAACTCTTTGAATATAACTGCTTAAAAACTTACGAAATGTTATTTTCATTACTTTTAAATATTGTTAAAATTTAATATTTTATTAAAAACAAAGATATGTTAACTTTTAATTTTATTTTGTAAATAAAAATTAAGATATGATAAAAAAAAGATAAATTTATTTTTATTAATTAATAATTTTAAACAAATATTACATATTTAATAAATATCAGGTTATTGTTACCTTAGTTGCTACATTTTGTAAGAACAAATTTTATGAAAATAACTCCGATATTGAAATCTTTGTCATTTCCTTATAATACATTTTCTGAGTATAATTTTATGATAAATACTAGTTTTTGTCCAAATTAGAACTATTATATTTCAATTTTATATTAAATTTTGTTATATATTTTTTATAGTAATAAATAAAAATGTTCTAAATAAAAACAGCTCATAAATAGATTACAAACAATGTATAATCAATTCCTGACTCCAGTAAAATATCAATTTTGTATTACAAAGTATAATCATTTAAATAAATGTATAAACTTCTAATAATTTTTTTTAGGAATTTCCGGAAAAAGTCAAATTCTATTTGCAATTGTATACACAGCGAGATATCTTGATCTATTCACTAGTTTTGTATCTGTTTATAATAGTGTTATGAAAGTTGTCTTTCTTGTTGCATCATATGGAACATTATATTTAATGTTCTTTAAGTTCAAACCTACATATGATCATAATCATGATAGTTTTAGGTAAATAATTAGTATTTTTATACTTTTGTGTCTTTATTTGTTGATTTATTATTTATATTATTTTTCAGAATTCTTTATTTAATTATACCATCAGTTATTCTTTCATTTATCATCGTTCATATTTATACATTGATGGAAGTTAGTAGCTTTTGATTTTTTTTTTAATATTTTTTAGATTTTATAATTGTTATATTGTTTAGATATTATGGACATTCAGTATTTATTTAGAAGCAGTTGCTATCATGCCTCAGCTATTCATGGTTTCAAGAACAGGTGAAGCTGAAACTGTTACCTCACATTACCTCTTTGCACTAGGCTCTTATAGAGGTTTATACATATTAAATTGGATATACCGTTACTATACAGAAGATTTCCTTGATATGATTGTGATAATCGCTGGAATTGTACAAACAATTTTGTATTGTGATTTCTTCTATCTGTATATTACCAAAGGTATGTGATAAAAAATACTAATAATAAAATTACTTAATTTTTTTTTTAATTTTTTTACAGTTTTAAAAGGAAAAAGATTATCTTTACCAGTGTAAAATTGAAATAAAGACTTCAGACCAAGACGTCATCATGAGACGGACTAATTAAGATTTTATATTATTATTCATTTCTTATGAAGTTATAAATGTATATAATTAAATTTCATTGCATAATTGCAATGTGGTATTATAGATTATTCGCCTTTTTACATAAACTTTATTGTGTTTCAAATTTTCACCATTTTGGACACAATAATAATCTATCTTACAACAAATTCCTTTTCTGTATCTGCACAATGTTAGCATTGTTATTTTATAATTTATAGTCTATATACAATGATGTAAAATTTAAAAAATTATGTGTTTTATTTATTTGTTTTAGTTTCCAAATGAAAAATGTTTATGAAAATTAAACATTTTGTGTTTACAATTTAATTTATTGTATTAAAATTTTTAAAATATAATTAGTCCTTTATAATTTTCATTTCTTTTATTTTTAATGTAATTAAAATAGTTAATAAATAGTTGTGTTATTATGAATTAATAAAATTTTAATTATTAAAATACTGATTTTATGTAATTCTTATTGAAGTTTTATTAAAATTACTCTATGAATTTTCTTTTTTATTATTATTTATTACAAAATATCATAGAGTTCAATGCTCTAATAAGCTGATTAAAATCTATGAAGTATACTACAATAATACTATATTAGTTTTAGTTATAAATAGTATTTTAGGAGGTACTAAAATATAATATTTTTTTATATAATTTGTATTTTTGTAAAAAAAATATTAACCTCGGTAATATTTTATTTCTTAACAGCCTCAAAATGTTCTTACTTATAGTCCATTTATTACTTAACTTTTCTGTATTATTAATATTAATAATTTATTCTTTTGGAAGAGAATGGGTTCAACTGAACAACTTATTTTTATTATTGTTTCATATATTTTTCAGTTTTATTTATAGGAATTTTATTTTTATTGGTAACTTAATGATTACAATTCGAAACTATAGTTACTATTCTTAATCAATTTTTACTCGAGTTTTATTTTATTTTTTAAAAATTTGAGTACAGTTGGGGCTATATATTTAAATTATTAATTTAAAACTAAAAAATATAATTTAAATGTGTTTTTTAAACCTACTTATGAAAAGTTCTGCTGAAAATGGCGATAGCGGATTTCTCATTGCTGTACCCACCATTTGTTCATAAAATTTCTTTTGAAGCTGAAAAACATTTTAAACCTTACATAATTTTGTTAAATTAATAAACTTATTTATTTTGTACTGTTCTATGTTTTATTACTTAAAGTCAGTCTTTAAAAAAATCAATTGTATTTATCTGAATACTTGGAAATAAATCTAATCCACCAATATTTTGAATAGGATAACCAGATAATTTTTGAATTAGGTCAATATTATTATGGTTGTAAGTTCTTCAAGCGACAACATAGTTTGACTTATCACTCGTTAGAAATGATATTACGTCGATTTCACGCGTGCTTCCCCATACACGCTTAGCCAGAATGTTTTTATTGGGTAGGTCCGCAGAAACAGTGCTGGCGCAAAGTTTTGCGGGACCCGGGGCAATTTAGTCATGGGGGCCCCAGTAGTTTTTGTATTACATTTTTTCTCTATATATTAGTTGAAATTTTTTTAAAGAACTTTTTTTCAGGCTAAAGACAAAATGGGTGGACTAAGTCAACCGCGGGACAAATGCCCCGCGCGTGCTCCGGTACTGCGCAGAAATAATGAGTAACCTCTTTGTTTTACTCATAAACCAAAACCAGACTGATAGGGCCCCAAATTTTTATGCAGTTTACCCATAAGTTGTAAAGATTTTAAATTATGCCACAATATCCAATTTTAATAATTCGAGTATTATATTATTTCAAACCCTGATGTTCAATAATTAAAACTATGCTAACATATTATTACTAATATGGCTATTACTTATTATTAATCAAATAATTATTCATATTAAGAATTAATTAGGTAATTATGACCAAGTGAAACAGTAAACTAAAATATAATTAGGCATACTATAAGATTCATTTTTTATTTTTCTAAATAAAAATTAAATTTACAAAATAATTGTACAATACATATTTTCAAAGTAAAAATTCCAATTTTTAGCTTCGATGCGAAGCTGAGAAGGTATTGGTTTTACTAAGATGTGTTTATTTTTTTTTTTTTTTTTTTTTGTGTCTGTTACCACTTTTTCTCAGCTCTCACCGAACCAATTTCTTTCAATGATACGTCAAAAGATCACAAATCGTATCTAGTCGAAGACATTACCCTCAAAAATTGAAAAAAATGCCCTCGCTCCCCGTAAATAGGGGAAACCTCCAAAAAAATTACAAATTTAAAAATCGCTAATTTTCGAAATTTTTAAAATTTTTTTTACTTAAAAGTGCCATAACTTTTTTAAAAATAAACATATCAATATAATTCTTTTTTATGTAGATGTGTAATATTATTACCTTTCGTTTGGTATATTTTTTTCATAAATTTAACCCTTAACCTGCCCACAGGGGAGGATTTAAAATGACAACTTTTTCACAAAAAATTTACTTTTTCAACTTAAATTTTGAAAGTGTTCCGGAAAGTCTGACACTTTTATATATATCTTAAATTAAAGCTAATGTAATATACTTTGTTATGCAAAAAAAAATTTCGGACTTTATTTTATCTTCATGGTGAAAACAGACATCAAAGTTTATAAAAAAAATACGATTTTTGTAAAAAAATTCATTTTTATATTTTTAACTTTATAATGCTATAACTTTTTGAAAGATGTGTGGATCAATATAATTTTTAGATGCAGATGTCTTTATCTATCATTTGGTATATATTTTTTTTATATCTGACCCTTTACCTGCCCACAGGAGGGGATTTAAAATGACCACTTTTTCACAAAAAATTTACTTTTTCAACTTAAATTTTGAAAGTGTTCCGGAAAGTCTGACACTTTTATATATATCTTAAATTATAGCTAATGTAATTTACTTTATTATGCGAAAAAAAAATTTCGGACTTTATTTTATCTTCACGGTGAAAATGGCTACCGAATGCTATTATTGTATGAAAATTCTCGATTTTATTTTTTACATTTTTAACTTTATAATGCTATGACATATTGAAAAGTGTATGGATCAACATTATTTTTTTATGAGAAATAATATTTTTTAATAATCCCTTTTTCATTCTACATACTTTATCTTAATTAGGATATTAATAATGAACTAGCAGATCATGTAGCTTTTTTTTTTTTCATAACGGCAAACTCCTCAATTATAGATGATAGATTATCTAGATATTGTCCACTTATTTATCTTTTAACAGAAAGTAAGGCCAGATTATTCAGCCTACAACTATTCATGGTGGATCTGAGATATGTTTTCAACCGTCTCATTATCGAAAGACTTCTTTCAGTTGAAACACTAGATACTGGTATGACAATTATAAGTTCAATTACTTTTTTGATTACAAAAAAGCTATTACAAACATTTCAAAAAATTGTTTTTTAAATATCTTCAAAATTTCAAATTCCTACAACGTCTTTATAAAATGCAATAAGGATTAACCTTTAACAAATTTCAAAGTCCAAAATTACGACGGTAATGCATCTTCTTAAATACTTTGAATACGTCTCTTTCATCAAATGAATATATAAATAAATATTCATTTAATCTGTAGTCCTGATTTGTATAGCCTTTCGTATTATCAAAGGTTGTTTGATAACGGATAGTTATGTATGATAACAGTGATGACTTATTTAAGGTTAGGTAGAAAAATGTAATTTTAAATATCATTGATAAATCCTGTAATGTTAGGATAAAATTCTCTAAAAGATAAATCTTTTTATTTTACATTTTTAATCTTATATTATCATAATGTCAAAAAGTCTTAGGAAAGCTGGTGGATTAGTTATCTATAGGAAGGTTTTCAATGAAATTCAATACTTACTATTACAGGCATCTTATGAAAATCACCATTGGACTCCTCCTAAGGGTAATTTATACATGGTGATCTCAATAAAAGTTTAAAAGTTAGAACAAATGTAAATAAATGTAGGAAAAGAGGTTCTATCAGAAATATCTAATTATGAAAATACCTCACTTGCTACCAAACTTAAGAAACATTATTTCAGAAAATTTTACCAATTTAAAATATCGGATTTTGCTATAATAATTTAAATTTTTTCCTTGGTAATACCTCTTCTTCCAATTAAGTATAAAAATGTTATTAATATTTGAAATACTAGTTTAAAAGTTGTAAAAAAAAAATAAATTTGACACTTATAAGATATAAGAAATACATTTAAAAAGTAATTTATAAATTATAAATTAAAAATTATATGAAACTGAAAATAGTATTCTTATCATTATTATTATTTTCAGAGAAATCATGTGGCTATTGTTAAAAGAATCAGTTTGAATTTATTTACATTTGCACCAACTTTCAAACTTTAATTGAGGTCACCATATTATAAATTAATGAAAAGGATAAAAATAAAATTATGCTTGTATTTATCTTTATTTTGGTAATTAGAAAAAATGTTACAAAATTTGGAAAAAAAAATTTGTTAGCTAAAAAACCTAAAAAATATAGAAAGAAGTAATTCAAATTATTGTTTTAAACAGCTAGATTTATATTTTATTAAGAATATATATAGAAGTATTTTTTATTTGCTTGAGCTCTTACAAATAAAGAAGTATATTATTTAATTTATTATTTTGCAAGATATTTACTTGAAAATGTAAAATTTCAATTCAAAAAATTAGTACTAATTATATTTTAATGGTCTTTTTGTGAATAAATTTTTTTTGTGTGTTATTGTTTTCTGATTAAACTATTTTAAAATATAAATCTAATTAAATTTCAGGTCATTTAGAAGAAAATGAGTCTGATATGGATGCTGCAGTACGTGAAACTGAAGAAGAAGCTGGTTTAAAGTTACAAGATTTGTGTGTTGATCATCACTTTAAGAAAACATTAAAAGTAATTTCCTTTAAAAATTAAAAAAAAATGTTTTTCTCATCTTTTCTTTTACTTAAAAAATAATTATATATTTTATGTTTTTTTTATACAGTATGAACCGGCAAACAAAAATTTTATCAAGCAAGTTGTTTACTTTTTAGCATATTTGACTAATCCAGAAACTCCTGTAAAATTATCTAATGAACATCAAAGTTATAAATGGTTATCTCTTCAAAACGCAAAAGAACACGCTCAGTATCCTGAAATGCAAGAATTACTTGATGAATGTGATAAGCATTTGAAGTTGTAAAATTTTTTTTATCTCATTGTAATTAAAGTTTAATTTTTTAAGTGTTTAGATAGTAGCATTTGTATTTACATTAATTGTTTTATTTTGTCTTAAGTCTTTGGCTATGTCGAGGATAAGGAATAAGGTGAGTGGACTGTATGAATGAATGTATGTAATGAATATAAAATTGAGCAGTTTTAGAATAGGATATGTGGTTAGTGGTCATAACTTTTTAATATCTGATTGGTTCATTCGGAGCAGGACCGACCCGTGGATGGATGGTTCAGTTTGACAGAATATACATGAGAGTGGGGAAGGATGCTTTGAAGTATTATGGTCTGTCAGACCATAGTGGCCACAGCTTTCTTTATTATGGCAGAACTTTTGTGTGAGTCCAAATAGAAGACATTTGGCGCATTTACCCTTAGAAGTTGAAAAAATTTCCTTGGTTCCCTGTAAATAGGGGAAATCTTTCAACAAAACTATGGTTTTCAAAATTAGTAAATTTCGACATGTTTAAAACTAACATAATTTTATTAAAAATAATTAAATCAAACATTTTTTAGCTTCGATGCGAAGCTGAGAAGGTATTAATTTTACTATGATGTGTTTTTTTATTTTTTTGTGTCTGTGAACGCTCAATCTCAGCTCTCGCTGGACTGATTTTGATGAACAATATGTCAAAAGATCACAAATCGTATCTAGTCGAAGACATTACCCTCAAAAATTGAAAAAAATTCCCTCGTTCCCCGTAAACGGGGGAAATCCCCCAAAAAATTACAAATTTAAAAATCGCTAATTTTCGATATTTTTTCAATTTTTTTTACTTAAAATTGCCATAACTTTTTTAAAAATGACCGAATCAATATAATTTTTTTTTTTATAGATACCTTAGATAATTACCTATCATTTTATATATTTTTGTGAACATTTGACCCTTTAACAGCCCAAAGGATGGGGTTTCAAAATGGTAACTTTTTTACAAAAAATTAACTTTTTCAACTTAACTTTTGAAAATGTTCCGGAAAGACTGACAATTTTATATATACCTTAAATTAAAGCTAATGTAATATACTTTAATTTGAAAAAAAAAAATTTGACCTCTGGACTTGTCTTCATGGTGAAAATGACTACCGTATGCAAAAATATGCTATTTTTGTGAAAAAATTCTTGATATTATATTTTACATTTTTTAACATTATGTTGCTATAACTTTTTAAAAAATGCATGAATCAACTTTATTCTTTAATGATAAATACTTTATATATACTTCTTTCATTCGACATACTTTTTTTTAAAATCGGACCATTTCCCTTTATACAGGGGGGGTGCAAACCTTTTAAAATGCGTATAGAAAGTAGAACTTTTTCAACTTAACTTTTGAAAATGTTCCGGAAAGACTGACACTTTTATATATATCTTAAATTAAAGCTTATGTAATATACTTTAATTTGAAAAAAAAAAATTTGACCTCTGGACTTGTCTTCGTGGTGAAAACGGACATCAAAGTTAAAGAAAAACGTACGATTTCCGTGAAAAAAATCTCGATTTTATATGTTATATTATTTAATTTATATTTTATATAACTTTTGGAAAAATGTATGGATCAATATTATTATTTTTTTATAATAAATATTTATATACCCCTTTCATCTGGCACGCTTTTTTTGTAAATCGGATCATACCCCTTTAACAAGGGGGGTCAAAACTTTAAACATGCGTATTGTTACTACGATATTTTCAATTTAATTTTTGAAAGTATTCCGGAAATACTGACACTTTTAAATATATCTTAAATTAAAGCTTATGTAATATACTTTAATGTGAAAAAAAAAAATTTGACCTCTGGATTTGTCTTCATGGTAAAAATGACTACCGTATGCAAAAATATGCTATTTTTGTGTTAAAATTCTGGGTTTTGTATTTTATTTTATTTTAAAATACCTGACAAGGGGAGTACAGATTTTCATAAATATTATATAAATTAAAATTGATATAGTATAGATAGTTAAACTTATTTAAATATGTTTGTTTCTTTTAAGTCGAGAAAAATAACTTTGAAATTTGAACTAGCTTAAATAGCCAATTTTTCAACCGCCGGAAGCAACGTACGGTTGCCGAGTTGGTAAAATTTATGTTTTACACGCTTGGGGTACGAGGTTCCAACCCGCATATGGCAATGAATTTTTTGCATTTTTTCTTAATTCTTTTTAAGTTAGTATAAATTTTAACTCGTTTGATTTTTATCACATTTAGATTCAATAACTTCAATAAAGATCAAGGATCCCATCACTTTAGTCGCCCCTTGCAAGAAGAAATTTCTTATTCGTATTAAAATTATTTTACTATATTTTAAGTTTTCGCTTCGATGCAAAGCCGAGAAGATATTTTTTTGTGACTATCATTTATTTTCTCTGCTCTAACTTGACCTACTTTTTTCAACAATACGTCAAATTACTACAATTCGTATCTAGTTGAAGATATTACTCTCAAAAATTGAAAAAAAAATTCTAATTTATCAATTAAACAGTTAGTTATTACATCGTCTCCATAAAGACAATTAAAATCATTAATTTCTAATGTTTTCAAAATATTTATTAACGAATGAAGTTTGATATGATAGGTTTCAACTACAAAATTAAATCATTTTACTTTGTAATTTAATAATTTTATTACTCTGTTTGTGTGTGCTACTATTAGACTATAATATTCAAATTTTTTTCTAACGTGTTGCTATATAAATCATTTCTAAAAAAAATGATTGTTTTTTCTCCTGAATTAACAATTGATTTTTACAAATATAATCAAATTTTATAATAAACTCAATTGAGTAAATCTTTTTAACAACTTTGTTTTGATTGGTACATTTAGTTAAAGTAAATCATTAAAATTAATTAAGTTCTCAATATTTCAATTATAGAATCTTTTCAACAAACAACAAAAGTTCCTAGGAAATTATTACTATTACTTCTATTTAAGTTATCTATTACCATAAAAATGCAAAAAAATATTGAGCTTTTCTGATAAATTTACAATAAATAGTAATTATAAAACTTTCTGACTGCATATTGATCTTAACGATACAATTTTTTTAATTGTCATAAAATTTTCTATTTAATTATGTCAATGTCAAACTTACCAATTGAGCTAAAAGTTATGGTAAAATAAATTTTTTTTTTTTTTTATAAACATTTACAACAATCAACTTTAAACGATTAACAAAATTGGTTAAATATGTCATTTTCCTTATTTTTAACTTATTAATAATCAAATTAATATTAAATATTATATCAAATCAGTATTAATTTAAAACAATTTTTTTTGTTCTTAATTATTTTTTTTTATATGTAAAAACTATTTTTTAATAATATTAAAACTTAGAAGTTATAGAAAAAGTCTAATTGCACATTTTAAAACATCGCGAAAAGTTGATTTAGAATAGTATATTTTTGTTTCTGATGGAAGTTCCTTGTAGTCCAGTGTATAAAACTTATAACTTTGTTAATTGTTATAACTTTATCAAAAATGACCAAATCAGTATATTTTTTTTTATTTAGATGCATGTCTTTATCTATCATTTGGTTTTTTTTATAAATCTAACCCTTTACCTGCCCACAAGAGGGATTCAAAATATTAACTTTTTTTTTTTTAGTTAAAGTAAATCATTAAAATTAATTCAGTTCTGGATATTTCAATAGTAGAATCTTTTTAAATATCAAAAATTACTTAGAAATGATTACTATGATTTCTATTTAAGTGTTCTATTACGATAAAAATGCAAAAAATAATGAGTTTTTCTGATAAATTTACAATAAATAATAATTATAAAACTTTCTGACTGCATATTAATCTTAAAAATAACATTGTTTTAATTCTCATAAAATTTTCTATTTAATGATTCATTCTAGTCAACGAAGGAGTAATTTTGCAGAATAGCAGAAAAAATTCCCAACAAACTTTTTTTTTTTTTGTTTTAATTAGGCAATTGGTGGATTATTCCAAAAGCAACATCAACTCTTATTTCTTTAATTATATCATGATTAGTAGTTCTTTGATTTTAAAATATAATATTTGAATATATACTAATTATAATTATTAAATTTAGTATGAAATTGATATTTAATATTGTAATTTAAACGGAGAAATTATAAAAATAATAAAGAAGTTATATTTTGCTTTACTTTTACGTGTATAAAAATTTAAAGGGCTTGATACAATAATTTTCAATAAAAACTGTTTGTTACTATAAAAAAATGCACTGGACTACAAGGAACTTTCATCAGAAGCAAAAATATACTTTTCTAAATCAACTTTTCGCGTTGTTTTCAAATCTGCAAGTAGACTATTTCTATCACTTCTAATTTTTTATATTATTACTAATTATATATATAAAATAATAATTAAAAGAAAAAAAAATTTGTTTTCAAATTATTACTGATTTGATTTTTAATATGTTAAAAATAATCAGTCCAAATTTTCAATTTTAACCTATTTTTTTGGTTCTTTAAAGTTGATGAAAAATTTTTGATAAAGATTTATGAAAGTTTATAGTAAAATAAATTGAATATATTACCATAACTTTTAGCTCAATTACAAGTTTAAAATTGACATCTAGGCCAGTCAACAAAGGAAAAATTGCGGAAAAAATTTTGTTTTTTTAAAAGTTGAATTAAAATATGTATAATGACATACTAATAGTCCTCAAGATTGGAATTGAGCTTTTTTTTTAAATCCTCGCAAAAGTTCAAAAATATGAGCTTTCTTAATTTTCTCAACAAAAAATATTTAACTTACAAAAAAAAGTTTCGTACAAAAGTTGTTTAAAAGACAATTATAAATAAAAATATAATCTTATATTTTTTCATTTAAACAAATATTTTTCGTTTATAATAAACAATATTATGAGTACTAAAATTTATATTCCATTTTTTTCATTTTACGGTTACTTTTTATCATGTTACACTTACGTTAGACACAATGTTATAAATGCATATGTGTGTATGTGTGAGTTTATTTATTTATTGTATCATTAAAGTGTAGTGTATATTAATATACAAGCGATAGAGTAG